CTTTCCCCCCTCTGCCCCAACCCCCTTGCATGCTCAAAAGCATGGGAAGTGCTGTTTGCCTATGGAGTACTCTGCTCCCACCTTTTTTTTCTTTTCTTTTCTTTTTTGGATGTAAGTTTGGACACATTGCTCAATTTTTATGCGTTGCGTGTCATCCTTGAAAGCGCAGCGGCCATGCTAAAATCTTCCTTCTAATGGACTTTTCTTTGGTTGAAAAATAAAATAAAAATCTTCCTTCTCTGACTCGTGCCAATTGGGACGGATGTCCCAAAGGACTGCAACCAGTCTCTTCTTGTATGATCGTTGAATGCAAGTCTTTTATTAATTTGGTACCTGGGCTACCAGCCGGCCGGGGACACCTTGTTTGACCGGGCGGCCTGGCCGTGTGAGGACCAAAGAAGGTCCCAGCAAAAAAAGTAAAAATCAAATGAAATACCGAAAAAAAAAACTATTGTTATGCAGAAAAATAAACTGAACAACTTTTGCCTCAGCAGGGTCACATCCAAATTCTTTACCAAATCTGAAATAAAACATAAAACTAAATATATAAAACAAAAAAATGTATTTTTATTTTTTTATTATGATAAAAAAAAAATGCTGCTCTAAGGATCCCAAGTCAAATTTAGGGGCCTTGTGATCGCAGTGCTGTTGTGAGCAGGAATAGATATGTTCCCTGGTCCTTTAGCGTCTGCTTCTCTGATGAAAGAACCTTATACAACACCTTTATTGCTGTTTTTTTTTTTTTTTTTTTTTTTTTTTTTTTTTTTTTTTTTTTTTTTTTTTTTTTTTTTTTTTTTTTTTTTTTAAGGTAATAGCGATGGTGTATCTGGCAAGGTCAGAAAAATGGATATAAAATTATAAAATACTAAAAATGGCCCTCCTATTTGTAGCGCTTCTTGGTGCACAATACCTATGTTTGTATTCTTGTGCTTGGGATTGAGCTGTGTATCAATACCCAAACTCGAGTTCAAAATTAATCTTGGTGCCCAACTCGAGTTGTTTGAATTATTCTTTTACATAACCTATATAATATGTTTCTCAGATTTTTCTGAGTTTTTCTTTATTTTAAAAAATATATTTTTATGTTCATGTTCCGCCGTTTTTTTTTTTTTTCCCGTTCCTGAACACGATGCTACACAGTAATCGTCGAACAATTCTGTCATCATTCTGTTCTTTG